TTTTTAATTTTTTAATTATTTCAAAAAAGTTATATTTTTTTCGAATATTATAAAATGAAGATGTACCAAATGAACCGAAACGTGCTCATATAAACACGTCATTACTTTCATTTCTTAAAAAAAAAAAATAATATTAGATTATGACAAAACTATTTATGAAGAGTTTTTGTTCTGTACATCTTTGCCAACGACCTCCGAAGAAATATTTATCTTGATTGAACTTAAGAAGTGTGTGGAATTAAGTAGTGATGGCGCACGAGCAATGTCAGGCATTCGTACTGGACTTTATCAAAGAATAAAAGCCATAGCACCGGAATGTGTATGGACGCACTGTAGCATTCATAGGGAAGCATTAGCCGTCAAAAAATGCCCTTACCCTTGACAGCAATGAGTGTGCAAAGTTCATTAACTTCATTAAATCTCGTCAACTTAACTCAAGATTGTTCTCTGTTTTTTGCAAAGAAATGGGAAGTATTCACGAACATCTTCTTTTACACTGTGAGATGCGACGGCTGTCAAGAGGTAATGTACATATTAAAAGAAGAAGTAAAAGTTTTTTTGGAGCAACATACTCCAACAGTTAGAGATGTAATATTTGAATTCAAGGACAGATTTCATGATGTTAACTGGTTGGTAAAAGTGGCTTACATATCTGATATTTTTGAATTTTTAAATAATCTAAACATGGCATTGCAAGGTAACAATGTAACAATATTTAAAGTGCAAGACTAAGTGGAAGCTGCAAGAAGAAAGCTTATAGTGTGGTTACAACGCGTGGCGACAGGGAACTTTAAAGTATTTAGTAATTTATGTGAAATACAAAAAGAGTACAACATTACTGCATTGCCACAAGACATATTAACTCAATTTAAAGAACATTTATTAGAGCTGGAGAGGAATCTTCAAGAATATTTTCCCCCAATCGTTGGCAACAAAGCTTGGATAAGAAACCCATTTACATTCAAGTTAGATTCCGAAACAAATGCCAACTGATACAGCACTCAAGGATACATTTGACACAAGACTTTTGATTGATTTTTGGTTATCTTGTCGTCAAGAAAACACAATACTAGCTCATCAAGCAATGATTTTTTAATGCCTTTTGTGACCACTTACAAATACGAAGCTGGGTTTTCAACACTAGTTTACCTTAGAAATAAATATCGAGACTGGAAGTGGAACCCGATCTCAGAATAAAATTATCAGCAATTTCAGCAAACTTGAACTCTATAATTAAAATAAGCAACAGCTACATACTTCGCACTAAAAAGTGAATACCAAAGATACCAAAATAATATAATTTAATATTAATAAAACATTTCTCTTACTATTATTAAACGTGTATTATTTAATCTCATGTAAGCATCTTGCGTTTAATATTATTAAGTGGGTCACGAAAAGACAGTGTGAAAATTAACGGGTCATGACAAAACTAAGTTTGGGAGGCACTGCTATAGACTACTCGAAGAGAGAGCTTTATACGAAAAAACCTCAGAACAAATTGTAATCAATAACCAATCCCTAAGATAACGAAACAGATATGGCTCAAGTATGACAAGATTAGAGCTCGTTAGATCGTCTTAGAAAAAGCATATGCACACATACAGCGACTCTAACCAATCATTGATTTTTGGCGAACAAGTACTAAAAATTAGTCTGCCCTATAACAATATTTGCCACAGCTGCAAACTGGAAAGGAATAAGGAAGGTGTTTTCCACTCTATCTGCTCTATATCAAAAGACATAGAGAACTTGGAACATATTAGGCTACAAAGTTTAAATGTCTGTCTACAAAAAGCAAGATCTTAGACCTGCATTATTTGAAATAATAAACACTTATTGTACATTGAATATATATATTATTTTTTAATACATTAACGCTAAATATGGTTAATAGCAAAAACAGTTGGAAAATAAGTTACAGAACCCTCCAAGGTAGCCACGAGAGAAGCAGTGGGAGTTGCAACGGCCTGTGTTACAAAAGGCACGTGCCTCTGCTTTAATACCTTCCTGTACGTTGATCGGTTTCACATCAGGTACATGAACCTGGCTGTGGACTGTGGTTTGGCCGGAAATCTGCATTTTTTGAAACGCTTCAAACATAGCCTTCAAGAAATTTTCTGCCACTGATCCAGGAACTTCGACATAAGCATTGGATTGAAACGAGGCATCGATCGTTATGTCGCCGTTCTTATTTTTCACTATTTCGGGATCTGCAGGTTGCTGAACCTGAGCTGGACCATTTAATTCAGCTTCGGCGACAGGAATAGCTGTGGCAACTTTCAACAGCAAAAAACTGCACAACACAACCGATAAAATAGAGAGAGTCCTCATGTTTTCTACTGATCACTGCCGTTGTGAATAGAACTGATTTATCTATCAATGAGTTGTTGCTATTTAAATGGAAATAGAAGTACGTACATAAGACTCGCAGACACAAATTAATTTTGGTACTTTTTTTTGTAATTGAAGAGGTACTTGAATGGAAGTACCAATTTCGCAGTTACACCTTTGCTTTTTGTTTAGCGCGGTTTTCGCCCCCATGAGAGGCTCGCAGATAACTGTTAAAACAGAACAATTATCGGGGCGAACAAAATAGCTGTGGCCGCTTTTATGCAAAACCCCTTTTATTATAAATGCAGGGATAGTTTTGATAGGTTTCGAACCAACAATCTATCAAGCAGTGGACTAAACGACGGGTATACGGCAACTCTAAATAAATACCGGCTGGTGTAACAGTCGAAACACATACAGACTTCGTATTTCTTCTGAGTGCAGTTGAAGTGTTTGCTAAGTTTGAACAGCTAATAATGTACCTATCGCAAGAAATAAGTTTAAAGTAAA